CTGGGGTCCTGCCAATCTGGACTGAGCGAGATGAGCTGGACATGCCCTGGAGCCCTCCCACAGTCCCTCCCAGCCTGATCGTGCACCCATGGGGTCCCTTGGCCTAGCCTGCACCCTCTCGAAATCTGGGACCTCCTCGGGGGATGTCGGAGAGCTGGTTTCAGCTGATCCCAAAGGCCAGGATGAGGGACCACACTGTTGCAGAAATTTGTGCACCGGGCCTCTAGTAAAGTAATAATGAATTGGGAGAGGAAAACTAGGTCAAGAAAAACTATAACATGCAATAGCTGGAAAGGGAGCAGGGAGATAACCTACAGAGAACACTGTACAAGAGACATATTTGTATATGGATATATAAAATATATACAGTATACACACACAAATGTCACTGTGGTAACTGTTGTAAGAGGAAAGCACAGGATTCTGTATGACAAAGTAACAGAGGGACCTAAGTGACATTGTGGAGGGCAGGGAGGCCTCTGACAAAGCGATGTTTAAGCCAGCATCTGAAGAACAAATGAGTTAATCGGCCACAAGTGGAGTGAGCGGTTTTTTTTGCAAAGAAACGGTATGTGTATTCCTAAGGCTGGTAAGGGCTGGTGCACTTGGAAAATGGAAGGAGTGGGCACAGTGAGCATTTACTTTACATTCATTGTGCAAATCTACGCTCTGCACCGCTTAAGGGGAAACAGTATCTTCGTTGTCCTCCCCTCACAGCACGGGTTCTGCGGGGGGCGGGGCTCCAGGCTGGAGTCTGGCTGCGCGCACACAGGCTGGAAGCCGGGAGTGAAGAGGAGGGTGGGCGAGGCCCAGACCGCGCGGCCTGGGTAAAGCGAGCGTGGACTTCACTCCAAGCGCAAGGGTCCCACTCTTCCGAGTTCTGCACACGGAGGTGATGGCATGATCCAAATGTGTCTGTGGACGACTGTGCCAGCGCAGACGGAGAAAGCAGCGCGACGAGGAGACGGGAGGCACACGGTGAAGGGACGCCGCGTGGAACGGGCGACGGCAGGGCGAGGGCGCTCCGTGGGAAACCACCTGACAGCCTTCGCGCGGCCGGCTCTGCCCTCCCCACGCCAGGGACCCAACGCCCCAAGTGCCGACGCGCATTCAGCCCGATCCTCTCGGTCAAACAACAAACAGCTCTGATACTTAACCGACATCAAACTGGGCCGAGCTGACCCTGCGCGCGGGGCCGGCCACAGG